GCGCCACCCTGGGACTCCCCTTCTTTTATAAATTTTGCTTCGGAGCCCCTCTTTTGCTAATGACCCATGAAAGGAATAAATGAAGATTCGCATGCAGAAAACTGTCACCAACACTTTTTTCAATAGATATGCCATAACTTATTTTAAATATATTTCAGTCTGTAGATATATATTTGTTATACACTTGTAAACACAGGATATATGTTTGTATAATCTGGGATTTTCCATATTGACAACTGAAGAACTGGAGGTAGCTAGAAAACCTGGTGATTGGCATGCTGAGTTAAACTTGAGAAGCCCAGGCCACCACAGGGAGGTAGCCCTGAGGTTTTCTTTGGATGGGGATGCCCCAAGCACCAGGCTGTGTTCTGTAAAGCATACTCACTCTGCTTTTTTAAGTAGAGCACGGGCCTCGTGAAGAATCTGGCTCGCTACAAAGTAGACGTGGAAGTGACTCAACAACTGGACACCACAGTTAGCGTGTCCAGATCCCTCCTGTTGGAACAGAGCATCAAGTCCCTCTGCTCCGTGTGTTTCCACACAGTCACCCTTGATGTCCCTGGTAACTTTATACATCACGTCTAGTGTCTTCTAACTTTCAAGGAGACCCATCCCAACAGAGGAGTGCTCAAAGACAACTGAGCAAGGAGAGGGCCAGTGTCCTGATTTGGTCCCTGGGTTGAACCTGTGCTCTGGGGGGATGGCAGGCAACAGGGCAAGCAGAACAGAAAACCCTAAATCACCAACAGGAAAGACCCCACCTGGGACCCTTGGTGCTTCCCGGATGCTAAATGCTGAGTTCAAGTGACCCCCTTCATTCAGATGCAAATGATAGCTGTCTACAGTGGGATGAGAGCCAGGGCCACAGCACTCCTATGTAGGATGCAAGTGCTTGTCCTCAGAGCCCAAAGGGGAGAAAGGTGAGAACTTTTCCCAATTTACACTTTTCATCTTCTTTCTGCACTCAGTTGGAATTCTTTGATTAGATTAGTGTGTTTTTCTGGATTTCAGTAGAAGAACACAAACACTGAGAATGACTTGGCAAAACTAATATTAGCCAAACACCCAGAAGGTACCAGGAATCATCTCAGGAGTGAGGTCATAAACCTACAAACAGCAGGGACTTCTCAAATCAAAAGGGAAGGGAGTCTTACAAAGGAGGCACTCAACTTTCAGGACAAAAAAAAAAAAATGTTTGATCAAAATGCTTTGTTCACACCTTTTAGATCAATAACCTAAGCTCTACCATCTCAGAGCGTCTAATTTATTAAAGATCTCTACTTCCCCCTCATTGGATAAGCATCTACTCTAGCAGATTGAGGGTTCTGGACTGCCCCTGTTCATGCAATGACAATATGGAAAGACACCCTCTCCAAGCACTGGTTTTGTGACGTGTTTCCAAATTGAGAAGGAAACATAGGGGATTCCCAGCAGAGCATTTGGTGTGTCCTGTCCCACAGAACTTCCCTGCTTTGTCTGTATTTGGAGTGTGCATTTGCTCAGTGGCTGCAGCCCATTTATTAATGTGGCCATGAAATGATCCTGGGAAGCTCCGAGGACACTTGTGGATGACCAACCAAGGAGCACAGCAGGATGCCGAGCTGTAGGCCCTCTACCGAGAACATTCGTGTGCGCCACGACATTTCAGCAGGCACAGAGTGGCTGACATTAGCGGTGGCAGCAGCCTTTGATTGAGCCATGTGACAAGGGCCAAAAGGGCTTTTCTGGACCCCAGGCATTTGATTCCTTTAAACAACAAGGATTTAAACAAAAACTTTTGAAATATACCAAAGGGTCTCTCCAGGGAAAGTTCTTGGAATGGAGTTGAAAATAACTTCTCAGACATGGTAGAAATGTGACTGACCACCCGGTTTCCTTGTTGATAGAAGGAACTAGAGAGAGCAAAGAGGAGGACAGTGATGCTGTCACTGTCCCAGGACAGGGAAGGAGAGGGCTGACAGGAAGTGTCCTTCTCATTCTGCCATTAAATATAAAATCATGTCCAGCGAGCTTCCCCTTTGGGTGACCTGGCTTCACCTCCACCATGTGCAGCCACACTGGCCTCTGGTCTTGTCCTGCCACATGCTGCCATCTCCCCCTGCAGGATGCCAAGACTGGGGGTCCTGCTTGCAGCACTCAGCCCCCACCATCCAGTAACTGACTGCTTTTTATCATCTCCCTGGTCTCCCTTCAGATGCCACCTCCATGGGGTCAAGCCAGAGCCACCCCTCACAGCGCCCCCTACTGTACAGAACCTGACTGCTCATTCTGCCATCCTCCTGTACCTGGTGCTGACCGCCTGCTCTCCCACGATAGGCCTTGGGAGAAGGCTCTACCTCACTCACACGCCTTCTCCATGGCCACAGTGGTGTCTGTCACTTGGTAGGCACTTAATAACTCCCTCCTGTTTCCTGTCTCTAAAGGGGCAACCGTACGCTGGGCAGGGTGATTAGGACAGCCTTCTCAGGAGGGCTTGGGTGAGGCCAATCTTCTGCATCTCTCCACCCTCAGCAGAAGAAGCCTCTGTGAACCTCAGGTGCCTGAAGCCTTTGTCCTGTCATTGCCCGGTTCTCTGACAATACCAAGCTGCCAATTACAGGAGGTGCAGAACACAGGTCCCAAGCAAGGCAACACTGAGCACCAGAAGCCTGGGGTCTAAGAATAATGAGATCCTGGACCTGAAGTGTCACTGTGTTCTCCTCTGTGAAACGAGGAAGCACAATTAATTGGAAGACTCTAGGCTCCAATGTCAGCGCAACACTTGGAAACTCTGAGGTTACTGAGCAGAGAGGGATGTGGGTGTTGATAAGGCTCCACGGAGATCTGTCCTGAGGTCTAGGGCAGGAAGGTCTATGGGAGTGAAATTCAGAGAGTGCCATCAGACAGCAGTGAAGTTACACCCAACTCCACCTTCTTTAAGCACCACAGCCTGGTGTGACAGCACAAAGACCACAGTCGTGTGCCCACCAGGACAGCAGGAGAGCAGCAGCACCTCAGCAAACCAGCCAAGGGCATGACAGCACACTCACAAACATGTGACGGAAGGCTTGGGCTCAACTCTTGCACTTATTTTATGGTGCAAAATGACCTTGTTCAAAACTGAGCTTCGAGCCAGGCTCAGGGAGAATGAGCTGGACAGAGAAAAGCCTTGTGCATACACTAGGCCTGGGAGCTTGGGGTGGGCTGGGCTGTGCCCTGGGTAGGGGGACTGCATGGCTGGGCAAATCTGCAGCCAGGAGCCATGCATTCTTGGGGCTGGCCCTTGGGGAAGGCAAGGGCATAGCCACATATTTCTCCATCTCCTGAAAAAGACAAGGGAGAAGAAACATCCAGGTGGCAGGCAACTGCTCCCTGCGTAAGGCATGATGGTAGGGAAAGGAAGAGCCGGCCATTATCATCCCAGTTCCTGTTCAGATAAGTGAACCTCAGGAAATGCTTGGCAACACCTTGGGGCAGAGGTGGCCACTCGGTTAACAAAGTGAGCAGGACTCAAAGGTCACATTCCAGTTTCTGGAGCTCATAGACAATCACACATGAGCAGACAATCCTTTTGTCAAATGTTTATGTAACGCAAAATACAATGAGGAAACAAAAGTTATTTTCAATTTAAACCCATGATGCATACATGAGAAGTGTACATAGTGAAGGTGACAGAGGTGGTGACTATTGCTGTTGACAGAAACCCTCTGTGCACACTATTACTTTGTTGAGTGACTCTGTGTGTGTAAATTTGCCCCCAGTGATTAGAAACCAATTTGGATGGAAGCTTTTCTCGAGCCACAAGTTTAACAGATTCCTGTTATTCTGTTTGTCCCTGAGTACAAAATAATTTGCAGAAAAATTATACCTGCATGTTGATAATATCAGAGAGGAAAGGCCAACCCAAGTAGGTGGGAAAGACCACAAGAGCATAGAGCCCCCTGTACAAGTTCCTGGGGTGACTGGTGCAAGACAGCTCCAACCTGCCCCAGAAACGCCCTTCACACTTCAACTTTATATAACAACAGAACTACAAATAAACTCCAAGGTTACGTTTTAGCAGCAGGGACTGTTAGTGACCCCTAGACACACACACATACACACACACAATACACACACATGCTCAATCCAAAACCCATCTGGCCTCATAGGGCACAGAACTCCCCAGAGAATGCAGCCAGCGAGGGTAAGTCAGAGGTCTGACAGTGCAGCAGGATGCTCTCACGAGGACCCAGGAGGCAAGCAGTAAATGCTCTGGGATTTATAGACCAGGTGGCAACAGGAAGGCCACTGTCTAGGTCTTTATATTTTAAAAACAAAATGTATTCAAAAGTTTTACTATCAAAATTTAAAACATCACTTATGGACACTGAAATTTTAATTTCCCATCATTTGCCTGTTTCACAAATATTCTTTTGACTTTTTTCAAAGATTAAGAAATGTAAAATCCTAGTGCTCAGTGGTAGGTCACTTGCCTAGCATGTATGAAGCCTGGGGTTCAATTCCCAGCACCACCAAAAGCAAAAAGAAAAGGCAGTGTGAAGCCCCTCTTGGCCTGCTGGACCAAGCAGGCAGGGGAGGCAGCCCACGGGCCTCATGCCCACTCTGCTGCCAAGGACAGGGGTGGACCTGAGCAAGCCAGGGAATCACCACCCAGGTCTACAGCTGGTTTTCCCTCAAAGTTTCTTCATAACATTATAAATATAAAGCTGCACTGAAACATCCCAAATTCCCTGGGCTTATAACAAAATCAGATTATATACTTCATCCAGTGGCTTATGCTTCTAAATTATTATTATTTCTATGGCCTAAACTTAATTTAAAGATCATGCCAGCTTCAGAGGCTGCACGGTTTGTGTATAATAAATGCAGGGACAGGAACAAACTGGGGACACACATCAGTTGGTTTCCAGGACGGGGACGAGCTTGGCTCTGGGAAGCATCTGGTGTGAGGCATCTGCTCTGTGCGGCCAGCGAGCCCCAGCCACCGCTTGTAATGCTCTCCTGTTCTTATCTTGTAGGCTTTCATATCGGACGGGGCAAGACACAGCTAATTGTGACACATGCAGGAACAGTGCATGTATTATCTATAGGTATGTGAACCTCCCTCTTCCCGCTTCTCATTCCCAGTGACAAATGGTGTTTACCCACGAGTGCGAGAACCATCTGGGGCCATGCTGGGATGATTCTGTAAGATGAAAAGGGAAGGGCCTGCCTTGACCATGATCCTCATCTACCTCCCAACGCTCCGCCCCAGGTGTATGGTCACGGGGTGAAGGACAGCTTGAGCCCATTCATCTTGCAGAGGCACCGCTGTGGTTTCCAGAGCTGGTGTCAGTTTGATGGCTTGCTCCCTGGGAACCCATAGCCGTGGGCACCGTGCGGTGTGCTCTGGAGAGGCTGTAAAACATAAGCCCTTCAGATGGCATAGATCAAAGCCTGGGGACCACCTGCACGCACCAGGAATGCCACCGAGGTCCCAGGCTGCTCACGCCACATGTGGGATTACTTCCAGTGAACTCAGAGGATCGGGGCACAGATCAGAAGCCCCTCTCTAGAGTCCCTGGAGCTGTTCCTCATTGTTGTGGTGGTGGTGTGTTTTGTCATTTGATTTTATGACTTGGTCAAATCCTTCAGAGGGATTTCCTTTTTTTTTTTTTTTTTGAAATGTAATATTCCAAACAAAGTGTGAGAGCAGTGAGAGATGTCATGATGTGGCTTGTTCTTTAAAATGAAGACTGAAGAGGCTTAGGTTGACCCACGTCCCGTGTGCTGAGGGCGGGGATGTCATACATACTACAAGCCCAGGCGTCTTCTCCACATGCTGCTCCATTCCCTCTGGGTGGACACCAGCAGTGGCCGCTGCTGGACCATGTCCCGTTTCTCTAGTTTTTTGAGGAGCCTCCATACTGTTGTTCTTCAAGGCCGTACAAAGCACCTCCTATCACCAGTGTGTGAGACCACCCTTCTCTCCACACCCTTACCAGCTCTTGTGATTATTGTCTCCTGGATAACAGCCACTCTACCTGGGGAGGATGGGATCTCATTGTGGTTTTGACTGGCATTTCTCTGCTGGGAAGTGATGGGGGACATTTTTTCCTATACCCATTAGCTACTTGTAGATTTTCTTTTGAGAAGAATAATTTTAGTGATCTGTCAAACTGTCAAGAAACTATTATAACTGAATAGTTATATACCTAAAAATGTAAAAAGGAACCCCTTCTCCTCCCTTAAAAAAATACACTCTCTAAGATCATCTTCAAAGGTAACATCCTCTACATCGGAACAGCTTCAGGTTAGCACCTGCTCTCCCCCAGACAGGGAATTGCAGGTGGGGTCCAAGATCATCAAAAGAAGAAGAGCTGGGGGCTGAGGATATAGCTCAGTTGGTAGAGTGCTTGCCTTGCATGCACAAGGCCATGGGTTCAATCCCCAGGACCACAAAAAAAGAAAGAAGAAGAGCTCAGTCACCTGGAGACTCTGACAGGGAGCAGGTGGAGGAAACTGCAGGTACAAATGGGCACCGGATTCCACATCAGCCTACTGCTCACAATGGAGGTTCTCAACCTAGGGCAATTGTGACTTCCAGGGGACAAGTCTGGAGGGACCACTTCCCTTTGTCACAGCTGGGGAGCTGCTGACATCTAGTAGGTAGAGGCCAGATACGCTGCGGATGTCATTCTGGACAGCCCACAAGAAAAGGTCATCAAGTCCAAAATATCCACGGCACTGATGCTGAAAGGTCACCTATGGAACAACCCCAGCTTTGAGGCCACTGGGCAGCAGGCAGGGAGCCAGGACCCCTGCAGCAGCGAGTGAAGGCCCGGATGGGCCCTGGCCATTGCTAATTTGGATGTAAAATGAGGCCCCATGCCATGATTCTTCTTCAAGAACTCCAAATTCCAAACTCAGAGACAGCAACCTTTTGGAGAGGTTTGCCTCAGATGAATATTTTCACCACCTTCATATTGCGAAAGAGCATTTCGAATCAATGGTGAAAGAATGCAATTGACATAAAATGACCCCCCACTAACATCAGCAAATTAGGAAAAGAGTGCCAGGCATCTCCTCAGAGTTCCGCTTTTACTACTTCAAGAGCTAAAGCTTATTTAGCCTTCTAATGCAGCAAGGCAGACGTAAGCAAAGATTTCCAGGAGTGTTCAGAGAATGAGCATGTCCAGCCTAAACCTATTTAACATTTCCTGGGGACTGAAAAAAGAATTTATTAGGACACCCTCCAATGTAACTGAAATAATTTAAATACATTTTGTTCTAAATCCAGAGGTGACTTATATAAAAAGTAATATGAGAAGTGATTTAACAAGTCTGAGAAGGAATCTGTAATCTGTCTTTGCCGGAATTAGCATGGAGTGGTTACTATTTGGATTGGCTCAGCCGGCATCCTCCACAAATCCCAACACACTGGCCTCCCATCCAAAAGAGCCAGGAGTGTCCAAACACCAGAACAATCTTCTAAAATCGAGGAATTCTTGCCAAGTGAAGGACAGAGACACTGCGCCCACTCTGGCTCTCCTGCGAAAGCAGGAAGACATGCCTATTCACAGAGGCCCTTCCACTGAAGGTGGGATTGTAAGGACGGTTGATATCAGTACTTGCATCTTTAGAAACTGAACAGAGGAGAGACCTGGGCAGACTCACAAACTCTGCCCCTTTGCCTCGAAGCAGAAGCATCCCAAGAGGCAGAGCTAGAGAAAAAGTAGGGTGTGGGATGCCTCTTTCAGAACTCTAGTTTAAAATCCCTTTCCTTGGCACAAGGTGATTCCCACAGCCCCCAAAGTTCTATTGCAGTCAGAAGCTACTAGGGTTCGGCAGGCAGGTCCCAGAGCGTTCTGTAGAGAACATCACAGCTGGAATCCCAGTGTCCCTAGCGTCCTCATTTACTCTTTGAACCAATTTTCCAAAAAGCTCTCACTGTTCCCACCAAGATGAGCACAGTCAGCTCAGTAAACGGTTTCTCAAATCTTCTATCCTTTTATATTGGATATAACTGAAACGTAGCAGTGACTCTGAGAGTGGATGTTGATGTTAGAGGAAAGCTTCTTGAGGTCTGCAGGAAAAGATGAGAACGGGGAGTAAAAATTTACTCTGGTTAATTAACTGAAGACCCAGTCAGTGGAGAAGCCATAAAAATTGATGTGTAACTAACACAAACATGTTATTTTAATTTAAGTCACGGAAATTGAAATTTCCCATCTCTATGACCTAAAACTCTGCCCATCTTTGGCACTGAGGCCCAAATGTTTTCTCGAAGGCAAGACCCCAGGCCACCACTAGGGTTCCAAGTTGTCTTCCAGGAGTCAAGCGGCTTTTCTTCTCTAGAGTGAAGGGACTTCTGGGAAGGAAGCTCATTCAGAAGGCTTCTGAGTGCACCCCTGAGTCACCCCCACTTTTTTCACACCCAATATTTAGTAGCACCTTGCTCTTTCCAGACTCTCAAAAAATGGCAATTCTTTCTTACGTCTCTGGTTTCTGCAACATTAGGATGATTAAATCATGTCAAAACTGAATACCAATGGCAGAACTAGTCCAGGAGCAAGGACGACATCTTAGCACGCATGCAACTGTAGCGTCAAGGGCAGAGGGTCACGTTCAGCAAGAGAGAAGCCTTGGAGCATTGGTCTCGTGTGCTGTTGGCGATGTTGTGGGTGTGGGGGGACAGCTGGGTTAAACAGCTGTGGGCTAAGGGGCTTCAAGGATCCCACACAGATATCAAAGATCGACATGCTAGGAGAGGGGAACAGGAAGGCCTCCACAGAGAGCCCTGCAGGAGGGAAAGGTCGGCTTGGATCAGAGTCCTTGCAGTTTTTTCCAAGCCTGGCTTTGGTACCCAGGTGCTGGGGTCCCAGGGCTGCACTCTAGGGATCAAGAAATTTGCTATGAACCCCTACCCACGATTTCTACTTCCCCTGGGAGGCCTGGAGCACCTTTGCAATATTTGGGATCCCATAAATAAGTTTCAAAATAAAGAAACCTTAAACACCACAAGGCTGTGGTTGTCCCAGAGGCTGGAGCACACAGGAGTCCATGACAGCCGCCGGGTCCCTATGCTGCAATTTGTCACACTGCCTGCTGGCAGGTGGAGGGCCCTGGAGGTCAATGAAATTGACCCCACCTGTCTTGCATTTAAACATTGCTTTTTACTGGAAACCCAACTGCCTATTGGAGCAGTATAACAACCTCGTGTTCCAGGAAAGCTTGGCTTGGGGAGACGAGAAGGGGGTGCGCTCCGGAACGCTGCCTGCGGTTTCACCAAAATGGTCCCACAATAAATGTGCACCTTTGCTATGGTGGCAGTATGTATTTCTCTGTAAAAAATTATTCTGTCATGGAAATACACAGGACTTGGGAAAAACATCAAAAGGACGAAACGTTTTGAAGCAATTTTAAAAGCACAATGTTGGAAACATCAGGCTGTCAGAGCCTGGCGCTCAGATCAGGGTGCCCTGGAGGTCGGGCTGAACTGTGGCCTTCTCTCGTGGGCAGGTGTCCATTCACCTTTAATTCCTGCAGAATCGCAGCAAGGTATCCCTTCCAGCCCCGAATCCATGAGCCTATTATTCACAACTATGAAAGGAAAGGACCTGAGATCTCCCATGGGGTGTGCGCATGGGGTGCAGGCGCGCACGCTCACAAGTCGTCTCTCCACCCAGAAGCATCCCTGCCCTCCTGGCAAACTGATTTCCATACGTGGCGGGGAACCCAGTGCTCTGCCCCAGTCCACTGAAACACGGAAAGTGGTAGCTGGAAATTCTGAGATGGTTGACATAGTTACGTTTTTTCCCTAAGATGACATCCCTTTGATTGTGATCTGGACCGATGGAGATATTCAAATTAAGGAATGTCTCAGCGTGAAAGAAGATTAAAAGAGATTCAAGCTGAAGTTTTCTTTCAGTGAAACTTTTCTGGCTTATCATCCATATTTCTTGTCAAAATATGGTTTAATTAGTTCAGAGAATGTTTTAAGGATAAATTACCAATATGATCTTTGCTAAGAAGCAGCTGAAATCCTTTGTCTCCAGTCTCTCTCTGCAACTCCTGACACAAGAATCTGATGAGTCACGCTCCCCATGAC